CACATGAAGGATCTTGACAACTAGCTGAAGTTTTACCGCTTGCAGCAGTGGAATTATCCTGACGAGTAGATGATGTTTTACATTGACCACATGAAGGATCTTGACAACTAGCTGAAGTTTTACCGCTTGCAGCAGTCGAATTATCCTGACGAGTAGATGATGTTTTACATTGACCACATGAAGGATCTTGACAACTATATGAAGTCTTACCACTTGCAGCAGTCGAATTATCCTGACAAGTAGATGATGTTTTACATTGACCACATGAAGGATCTTGACAACTAGTTGATGTTTTACCGCTTGCAGCAGTCGAAGTATCCTTACAAGTAGATGGTGTTTTACATTGACCACATGAAGGATCTTGACAACTAGATGAAGCACTGGTGCTTTTAGTGGAAGAATAACCTTCAGCAGACGATACCTTGTTACACTGATCACATGCATGGTCTTGACAACCAGATGAGGCAGTCGTACTCAAATTAGTCGAATAATCTTGACGAGTAGATGATGTTTTTTTACATTGATCACATGAATGTTCTTGACAGCTAGATGAGGCATTGCCACTTGCAGCAGATGAATAATCTTGTTGAGTAGATGACACTTTATTACATTGATCACATGCATGATCTTGACAGCCAGATGAGGAATTGCGACTTGTAGCATTTGAATAATCTTGATGAGTAGATGACACCTTATTACATTGATCACATGCATGATCTTGACAAACAGATGAGATGTTGGTATTTGCAGCACTCGAATAATCTTGATGAGTAGATGACACCTGCTTACACTGTTCACATGAATGTCCTGCACAAACTCCAGATGAGGCACTGGCACTTGGAGCATTCGAATATTCTTGATGCGTAGATGATACCCGATTACATTGATCACATGCATGATCTTGACAGCTAGATGAAGCATTGGTACTTACATTTGATGAGTAATCTTGATGAGTAGATGACACCTTATTACATGCATCACATGCATGGTCTTGACAACCAGATGAAGCATTGGTGCTGAGACCACTTGAATAATCCTGACAAGTGGATGACACCTTTCTACAATCATCACATGCATGGTTTTGACAACTAGATGAGGCATTAGTACTTACAGCAGATGAATAATCTTGATGAGTAGAAGAGATCTTATTACATGCATCACATGCATGGTCTTGACAACCAGATGATGCATTGGTGCTTAAAGCAGACGAATAACCTTCACGAGTAGATGAAACTTTTCTACATGAATCACATCCATGGTCTTGACAACCAGATGAGGCATTGGTGCTTAAAGCAGATGAATAATCTTGATGAGTAGAGGACACCTTTCTACATTGATCACATGAATGAGTTTCACAACTAGATGAGGTACTTGGGGCAGATGAACAATCTTGATGAATAGAGGACACCTTTCTACATTGATCACATGAATGGGCTTCGCAACTGGATGAGGTCTCTTGATGTTTAGGTGACACATTCTTGCATTGACCACATGAAGGATCTTGACAACCAGATGCAGTGTCACCACTCTGAGCAGATGAAGCCTGTTGACAGGTTGAGGACTTTGTCTTACATTGACCACATGAAGAATTTTGACAACTAGATGAAGGATCACCACTTGGTGCAGATGAAGCCTGTTGACAGGTTGAGGACTTTGTCTTACATTGACCACATGAAGAATTTTGACAACCAGATGAGCGATCACCACTTGGTGCAGATGAAGCCTGTTGGCAGGTTGAGGACTTTGTCTTACATTGACCACATGAAGGATTTTGACAACCAGATGAGAGATCACCACTTGGTGCAGATGAAGCCTGTTGACAGGTTGATGATGTCCTGCTACATTGATCACATGAATGTTCTTGACTACCAGATGAGTCATCGCCACCTGAAGCAGAAAAAAACACCAGACAAGTAGATGACTTCTTTTTACATTGACCACATGATTCTTCTTGACAACCAGATGAGACATCACCACTTGGAGCAGAACATGATGCTTGACAGGTAGATGACTGTTTCTTACACTGACCACAAGAATGCTTTTCACAAACAGATGAGAGATCACCACTTGCAGCATTGGAGAACTGTTGACTGCTGGATGACTGCTTCTTACATTGATCACATGAATGTTCTCCACAAACAGGTGAGACATCACCACTTGGAGCCGAAGAGTTTTGTTGACTGGTAGGTGACTTTTTTTTACACTGATCACATGAGTGCATTTCGCAAACAGGTGAAGGATCGTCAGTAGGAGCAGAAGAAAACTGTTGACAGGTAGATGACTGTTTCTTACACTGATCACATGAATGTTCTCCACAAACAGGTGAGACTTCACCACTTGGGGGGCAAGAGGATTGTTGACAGGTAGATGACTGTTTCTTACACTGATCACATGAATGTTCTCCACAAACAGGTGAGACTTCACCACTTGGTGGGGAAGAGGATTGTTGACAGGTAGGTGACTGTTTCTTACACTGATCACATGAATGTTCTCCACAAACAGGTGAGCCATCACCACTTGGAGCAGATGATGACAATTGACAGGTTGATGATTTCTTCTTACATACATCACATGAATGCTCTTCACAAGTAGATAAAGCATCAGAACTTGAAGCAGATGATAACTGTTGACTAGTAGATGACTGCTTCTTACATTGGTCACATGAATGTTCTTCACAAACAACTGAGATATTGCCACTTTGCGCTGATGAAGGTTTCTTACATTGATCACAAGAATGGTCTTCACAAACAGTTGCAACATCGCCACATGGAGCAGATGAAGGCTTCTTACATAAATCACATGAATGGTCTTCACAAACAGTTGCAACGTCACCACATGGAGCAGATGAAGGCTTCTTACATAAGTCACATGAATGGTCTTCGCAAACATTCGAAACATCGCCACATGGAGCAGATGAAGGCTTCTTACATAGATCACATGAATGGTCTTCGCAAACACTCGAAACGTCGCCACATGGAGCAGATGAAGGCTTCTTACATAGATCACATGAATGGTCTTCACAAACATTTGAAACGTCGCCACATGGAGCAGATGAAGGCTTCTTACATAGATCACATGAATGGTCTTCACAAACATTTGAAACGTCACCACATGGATCAGCTGAAGGCTTCTTACATAGATCACATGAATGGTCTTCACAAACGTTCGAAACATCGCCACATGGAGCAGATGATTTCTTCTTACATTGGTCACATGAATGATCTTCACAAACAATTGAGACATCACCACTTGGAGCGGACATTAACCTTTGACGAGATGACTTCTTCTTACATTGATCACATGAATGTTCTTCACAAACTGAGATATCGCCACATGGTGCAGATGATTTCTTCTGACATTGATCACATGAATGTTCTTGACAAACAGATGAAATGTCACCACTTGGAGCAGTTGTTAACGAAGATGGCTTCTTACATTGATCACATGAATGGTCTTCACAGACAGATATGATCTCACCACTTGCAGCATTTGCAGAGTGGCTTTTCTTTAATCCATCAAATAGTGTAGGTGTTGGAAGCTTCATACTTTCTTTTGGAACGGATGTACACACTAAAGTCTCTCCTGGAGCTAACTGATAAACAGGAGGGGACCTAGAACTGTATTGAGGTGATATGGGCTGGTAAACAACTGGTGCCACATTTGAATAGTGAGGTGGTACCCCTTGTTGATAGTAAGATGCAGTCTTAGACTCAAATGGAGATGGTATAGGTTGTGAATAAATAGGCGGAGATTGATACTGAGGTGCCATTCCTTGTTGGTAAACAATTGGGGACTTCCTTTCATACTGGTTTTCTGGAGGAGCAGGTGCCATTGCTTGTTGGTAAGCTGATGGAGACATCCTTTCATACTGCTCTTGAGAAGCAGGTGGTGGCATAGTTTGTATTGGTTCCTGATAGACCTCTGCGGTTTTACTTCCATAATTAGCAGGCATCGGTTCTGTATGAATAGGTGAACACACATTTTCACGGAGAGAAGATTCAGCTTGTGCCTTGGCTTCACTTGAAGCATGTATATTTCCCTGATAACCAGGTGCTGGTTTTGCATCATATCCAGAGCGTGAAACTTCTTGACGAACAGATGAACCATAGGCAGGAGGCACTGGTGCTTGACGAACAGGCTGTGCCATAATCACCGTTTCATATGGAATAGGAACAGCATCTGTACGAATAGCTGGAGCCATAATCACAGGCTCGAAAGGGCCAGGTATGCCTTCTTGATTATAAAATGGAGCCCTAATGTAAGGGTCATATGGAGCAGGGATGATTTCCTGATAATATGGAACAGGTACAGCTTCATGGCGAACATATGGTGCTCTAATCATAGGATCATATGGAAGAGGTATGGCTTCATGACGAACATATGGTGCCCTAGGGAAATTCTCATGTGGACCGGACGTAGCTTCTTGGTGACCATAAGCATCAGTTGGAGCAGGTGCAGCTTCCGGCTGTGCACAAGGATCCTTAACCACAGGCACAGATGGAGAAGGTGCAGCATCATGAGTAGCAGGGGTTTTCTCACAAAAGATTTTAGACAAAATCTCCTGATTAATAAGTGAAGGGTCCTTAGATATTGATTTTAAATTTTGATCATCGGAGGTTGTTCGGTGTGCCTTTCCATCAATATTTATAGCTGTTATAATTTGTAAAGAAAAAAGTGAAAGTATTTTTAGTTAATGTAACTAAAAAGTCAATGTTAAAAATTTTCATCAACATAATACACCTTTATTTACAGTGGTCCACTATACTTATAGGTAAAACAATGTTGAGGTGAATTTCATACAATTATGTAGAATTTACAGCACAGAAACATGCCAATGTATTGGTTTGCACTGGTCTTTATGATCCACAAAAGATCTACTTCTCCCATTTCATCTTATCCTATTAAAGTATCCTTCTATGTCTTTCCTCATGATGTGTTTATTTGGCTTCCCTTAAATGCATCTCTGCTATTTGCCTCAACTACTTCAAATGTTGGAAATTCCACATCCAGACTATTCCCTAGATAGAGAAGTTTTCTCACTGTTTCCAGTATTTAGCAGTTTTCAAATGGCTTTAGAGATACTTTTTTTCATCAAGTAAAGTTATAGGGCAGCTAGTACCTGTGCTTATATGCCTTTAATAAGCTTTCAGTTATGTTTGTTTGTTATTCTAGAACAGTTCTGTGTCATGATGCTATTAGCTTTATTTACATATGGTTGCATGAAAACGATACTTGGATGAAGTTTCCTGGACTTAACACACCTGTGCAACTGGAACAAATTGCACTCATTATAAATAGGCACAGTAGTTGACAGAATCAGAAATTAAAAGTAGAATGAGTTGTTCCTCAATATTTATTGAAGGTGTGTTTCTCTTTTTATTTCTATCTACAAAACACCTGCGTATGTTTTTGACTGCTTCTCAGAAGGTCAGAGTGTCAGCGGAAATTCAGACCCATTCTGGCTCCCTTCCCACTTAGGTGCACTGAGAAGGAAATATGATATTCTCTATGGAAACTTATTCAGTGCTTCCTCCAGGTGGAGTGGTTGATTCGTTATGCACTTCAGAAGCCACCACTTGCTGCATTTTGATAACATTTTGCTCGTTCACTTCCCATGGTCTACTCATGTGGTGCCCTGAGGGGTAAGACTGGAGGCTTGATATGTGTCACTATCCTGAAAGACAAGTGTGAACCTGGGTGGCTTTGTCTTCATCATACTTCTCTTTACCATTAACTTCCTTTTCTTGTTGCCCGTTGCTGTGGTGTATCTGCATGAATGGAAGAAGGTGTACCATCCCTCTTAAGATTGCAGAGACAGAGAAGGGATGAATAGTGTTGTTTGTATATTCACATGGATATTGGACAATAAGCTACCATTTTCAACAGTTTTTAAATTCATTCATGGGATGTGGATGTCATTGGCAAGACCAGCATTTGCTCCCATTCCCAACTGCCCTAGAGAAAGTGGTGATGAGTCCCATCTTAAACTGATGCAGTCCATGTGGCAAAAGCTGAGTGGTTGATTCCTTGTGGTCTGCAGAAGTGCCATGCCGCTGAGGTGTCCTGCTGTCTGACATTTGTCTCAAAGCTGCTGAGGTCACAGAAGGATTTTTGCCTTTCAGTAAGTTTTATGAAAACTCAGATTGGCAAATAACATAAACCAAGGGTTAATAATACAAATTCAGCAAATGAACCGATTGTTCAAAATGACATTGCCAGGTGAATTCGACATACACAACTCAATTCTTATTCAATCTGTCCGAAACAATTTGAAACTGCTGTATGCTCTGAGTGTTACTTTTGTAGCAGCAATCTTTATAACTGCAGAAAGGTTAGAGGTCAGAAAGTGACTGAGAAGCCTATCATTGTCAACAAGAATGGTCTAACAACAAGCATTTTATTATGAAAGACAGAAACAGTCTATCAGATCACGTGACAAATCACACAGGATGTTGATAGAGAATTAACTTCTCATTTTGCCAAAGCAAAATAACAGGTCACTTAAGAGTTTAATATTGTGTTTACGTACTCTTTATTTGAATCCTTCCAATCAAATTTCCGTAATTATCACAAAGTCATAAACAACATTCTATGTGATTGTGATAAAGGTAAACGATTCTTCCTTGTCCGAGTTGTTTTCAACCACTGACATGGCAGACCACACCATTCTTCTTCAACACAACTCCCACCCGATCTGTGGGATTGAACTGCACTTGCCTAATTTCATTCTTATCTATCCAATCATAAACTTTTTATCATGTGCAATGGCTTCTCTTCCTGTTCCTCTACAATTACCTTTAGTGTTCTCCACAGCCCCCTCAGTGACATAATATAAATACATTAACAGTTTCTACACTCTGATGCTCTTCTAATATTTTCAATCTCAAGTTCTGGGTCCTGTTTTGTTTGTTGTTTATATAAATGATTTGGATGAGAATATAGAAGGCATGGTTAGTAAGTTTGCGATGACACCAAAATTGGTGGCATAGTGGACAGTGAAGAAGGTTTTCTAAGATTACAAAGGGATCTTGTTCAAATGGGTCAATAGGCTGAAAAATGGCAAATGGAGTTCAATCTCGATAAATGCGAGGTATTATATCTTGGTACAACAAACAAGTAGAGTAGTGTTGTAGACCAGAGGGACTGAGCAGGAAGTTGCATAATTCTTTGAATTCTCCTCTCATATAGACAGGGTCGTTAAAAAGGCATTTGGCACGCTTGCCTTCATAGCTTAGTCCTTTGAGTATAGGAGTTGGTAAGTCAATTTGAAGATGTACAGGATAGTGGTGAGGCCTCTTCTGGAGTACTGTGTCCAGTTCTGTTTGCCCAGTTATAGGAAGGATATTATTAAGCTAAAGAGGGTTCAGAAGAGATTTACCAGGATGTTGCCAGGTATGACCGGCTTGAGACGATACTAGAGAGGGAGGGGGAGGATCCAGTTGTTGTGGTCCACGTAGGTACCAACAACGTAGGCAGGACTAGGAAAAAAGACCTGTTTCGGGATTATGAAAAGCTAGGAACAAAATTAAAAACAGGTCTTCAAGGGTCATAATGTCTGGATTGCTGCCCAAGCCACGTGCAAATAGGCATACGGAGGCGAGGATCAGGGAAGTAAACACGTGGCTAAAAGAGTGGTGTGGGAAAGAGGGTTTCCTTTTCATGGGGCACTGGCATCAGTTCGGGGACAGGAGGGATCTGTACCGCTGGGATGGACTCTACCTGAACAGGGCCGGATCCTGTGTTCTGGCGAAAAGGGTAAATAGGGTGGTTAATAGGACTTTAAACTAGTAAGTGGGGGGGAGGGAGAAGTGAGCATAGAGGGAGAATAACAATTAATGTAAGGCAAAACTGCAGGTTAGCAGGTGACGAGGAAGCTTCAACTCCATTGAAAATTAGGAAAAAAGTTAAAGGGAAGGAGAACTCAAGAGCTGTTAGTAATGGAGGTAATAG